TGCATCACTATTCCTCGTGGCTTATATCGAGAGCATAGGCGAAGCGTTTCGCAAAGGCGATGCATGCCTCGCTGATCTTCTGCTCAACATCGGCCTCGATCAATGTGCAGAAGATCTTCAAGATCGTCCTGGCAAAGGCGTTCGACCTGAAATGCGTCATCCCAGAAATTGACGGCGTGGGCGAGCCGATACTTATGTATGTCGACGTATAGTGCATGAAGAGGGCGACGATTCAGAGAATGAAGTGTGGACTGGGATCTGGCGGAAAGCGCAAAAGAATCAGGTGCGTATCGTCCCGCGTTCCGCGGACATACGTCATGCGCTGGTGACTTTTCTGAGTGTCTGACTCGCACGCTTGCCGAGCAGCCTACTGCAATGGTGCACATGCACTAACCTCGACTAGCAATCTCACAAGGAGACCACATTGTTTGCAATGACGCTACGGCGTGAAGCACATGGGCAACAAGTGCCCCAGGATGATGAAGAAATGGACTATATGGTACACAGCCTGTCTCCTCTCTCGATGCTAGTTTATTCCCTTGCTACTTTCCCTTTCCCCCAACATCCCCGTGTCCACCGAGCTCAGGCTCGTCGTTACCCCTCCCCTCTACTCTCTGGGAGCCCTGGTCTCGTTTGATTCCCCCCTCCTCTTCCCTCCCTACCCCATCACTCCCACTCCCCTCCCACTCACCCTCTCTCAATCACCACACGTCTTAGTACTACACCGCGCTCGTACACTGTTGTCGTTTTGTTCTTTGCTGCATTTTCTATGTCACCTCGCTCGTCTGCACTGCCTATATAATCGCCGTAACCGTCACACTCATCGCATGCCCCGCCAGAATGCTGCTGGCACCATCTCTATCCACAATTCTCTCTCTCACCCTTTGTCGTGCCCATCGTCCACTGTCGTCCGCCGTCCGCTTGCTTTTCTCACTCTCACACACATTCGCAGTCACCTTTACACAAGACGACTACCCTTAATTTCTGGGCTCTGTATGACTTCCGCACTTCTAGCCTTGACAACCGTGTTGTGTAAATAGCCTCCTGAATGCACTTGCTTCCGGCATGAACCCAATTGCGCTGCTGTTTCTCGCTTTATATGATCCTGTCAAGAATCTACTATGTTGTGTGGCTGTCGAGCGTGGTGATGATACACATGCGCGCTTGAGACCGGGAAACATGTGCGGCGGGATGACGCGGTGATCCGTGAACTCTAAATGAACCTTGTCCTACTGCCACCATGTCGGCAACATATACGCATACGTTCTCCTCTGGTCTCGAGCCCCGCCGTTGTCTACACGACAGCAAACTATCTCAAATCAGATGCGCCGCCTTTGTTGCATCTCACGGGCTGCCAAACAAGGCTTAAAATCACCCTTTGGGGCTCGAGGCGGCTCGGTGCCTAATGTACGTCTTTTCGTATCTATGGTATCACGCAGTAAGTACTCATGCGCGCACGACGGCTTCATATTCCAGCCTTCTCTAGCCATCTGAGAGCAGCAGGGCTCGGGCACGGCGGCATCGGGCTAAACCGAACTATTTTCTCGCGTGCATGCGTTCATATAGCCTACCGAATGTCGCGCGGGTGACACAACTTTCGCTCTGGTCCTGGCCGCCTCTGTCCATCCGCCCCCCGCTCGGGGAGCGTGCTGCATTGCAGCAGGTTCCATATGGGTGCATATCAGGCGACCACGATGTAAGCTTAATGCTTCCTGCGTTCCCACTCAGCCTCTAGCGCACAGGGCCGAAGCGGGACTTCCTTGACAGCCGCTCGAGCATGTTGAACTCATTGACCCGTCTTGGTCTCGCACACCAAGCTAGTCGGATCACATCTGCGGAGCTTACGCTGTTCACGACAGCGATTTGTCCCTGCATGAAGCACTCGACCACATATGTGTCATATCGGTGTGGCAGCGCAAGAGCCAGTGGGTGCAATATCCTCCGAAAGAAGTGCCCGATAGGCATATTATCTGCAGGTTACGGCACCGTCCCTTTCTGAAGCCAACTGACTGTTGTTGGCTATCTGATCGTCAGGACATGAAACTCCAGCCGCGCTCCCACACGACGCGGCGTGCGTCTGGGGTAAAGCACCGAGACGAGGGTCGCATCTGGAGATGTCAGCACCCGCATGGGATGCATCTGACACTTCCCGGTGCCGCTGGTGCATCACATTGTCCTACACTATTCAGGCAATGTCTAGCGCGGCCATGGCTTCTTCGAAGTCACTTGTGTCCGAGGTGTACCTGGTAGAGGAGCTACAAAAGGGTCCGCAACTTGAGCAACGGTCCCTCGAGCTACCGCTCTCAGTAACCTTCTCTCCACAACCAACCCCCATACACCCTTCTACACTATGGCATTGTCAGCTACCTTGAGACGTGTTGTCTTGTTCGCCGCCGTGGCTTTGGCCGCGGTGGGGGCTGTCGAGGCGACGCAAGTTATGCATCGCCCCGAAGCCTACAAGGAGATTCCGCAGGAGTTCGCGACCGGCAAGGCGGAGCCGCAGATTATCCATAAACGTGCGGATACGCATGTTCAGGCGGCATACTTCACCAACTGGTTCGTTCGGCGTTTGCTATCATGATCACATTGGGACGTCGTGTGTTGATAAGGCTCCCGTGACAGGGGTATTTATGGTGCTAACTTCCGTGAGTGACATGAGGTGAACCTATTCCGAGCGCGAACTTAGAGCTGACTCGCTCCCCTATTTCGTACAGAGCCTACGGATATCGACCCGTCGCCGTTGACACACATCCTGTACTCCTTCGCCGACGTTTCCCCCGACACCGGTAGCATATCCTTGACCGATTCGTATGCAGATGAGCAGGTGGGTGCATGCTGCATGCACCATGGTGGTTTGACAGGTCGTCTGACAGACGTTGCACGTAGAAACACTTCGCCGGTGATTCCTGGGATGAGCCTGGCAACAACCTCTACGGATGCCTGAAGCAGGTGCGCGCATACCTGTCGCTATTTGGCAGATATTCAATCATCGATTTGCTCATTGCCAATGCCACATATAGCTCTACCTCCTGAAGCTCAACCATAGGTGAAAATAGTCATCACTACCACGTCTTGAATAGAAGTGCTGAACTCACCATAGGAACCTCAAGGTCTTGCTCTCCGTCGGCGGATGGACGTACTCGCAGAGCGGTCACTTTAACTTCGTGACAGACGCAGGCAAACGTTCGACATTTGTCTCCGCGGCCGTCAGCCTGATAGAGAACTACGGATTCGATGGCATCGATATTGACTTTGAGTACCCCAACACCGATGCTCTCTCCTCGGGCTTCGCATCTCTCCTCTCGGAGTTGCGCACGGCGTTCGACAACCTAGAGAAGCAGAAGGGCGACGCCACTTCATACCTGCTAACGGTTCGTCTCGTGCGATGTTGTATCGCTTGCGAACGGAGAATTGATCTGCTCCCGACAGGCTGCCGTCCCGGCAGGCTCGGACAACTACTCCTGGTTGAAGGTATCACAGATGGATTCGGCCCTTAACTTCTGGAACCTTATGGTACGCAATGCTCCATTAGCCCGCGCTGATAACAGTTCTGAATGTCATCCTCTGGTACTTCCAGGCATATGACTACGCTGGCTCGTGGTTGACCTTCGTGAGTGCTACAGACCGCGTTTCCGAGCGCAAGCACGCCATATTAGGCTAAACGCTTCCCTTATCAGGCTGATAACCAGGCGAACCTATATGGTGGTGTTCGCACCAACGTCTCGACCGATAAGGCCGTCAAGTTCTACCTCCAGAACGGCGCCACTGCGAGCAAGATCAATGTCGGCATTCCAATCTACGGCCGCGCGTTCGAGGAAACCACTGGCATTGGGGCGTCTTACAGCGGGGCAAGTGGAATAACTTCTTAACTTGAGAGATGAGATTCTGACAGTACGGCACTAGATCGGCCCTGGGACCACCGAGGCGGGCATCTACTCGTACAAGGATCTACCTCTCGCTGGCGCGCAGGTCTTCGAGAACGTGACTGACGTGACGAGCTACTCGTACGATGCTGCGAAGAAGGAGCTCGTGTCATACGACACTCCGCATATCGCCAGCTTGAAGGCGCAATACGTCCAGGCCAACGGTCTTTCAGGATCCATGTTCTGGGATGTGAGCCTTCGTTTCCTCATGCTTATTGAAAGCATTCGAGACCATTTGGCATCGCTCACCTGTTCTGCTCACTTGTAGCTCTCTACTGACAAGACTGGTGCCGATTCTCTTGTCGGGACCACTGCGGATATATACGGCAGTCTCGATCAGACTCAGGTGAGCGACACCACTTTGGGCCCAAGTTTGCGAGCTCGAGCTTACGACGAGTGGTCGCCCGTCTTAGAACCACATCAATTTCCCGAACAGCAAGTGGGATAACATCCGCAACAACATGGGCCGTGGCTCCGGCTCGACCACCACGCAGCCAGGCTCGACCACCACGCCTGGCTCGACTACCACGAAGGGATCGACTACGACCACGAGCACGGGCTCAGCTCCTACCAGTGGGGCATGCGCGGGCGTCTCAGCTTGGGCTGCTTCTGTGAGTAGCACTGTACTATGCTCTCTTCGGTGCGGATCTCGCTTTCATGCTGACATGCTCATGACCCTCAGACGACTTATACCGGTGGACAGACGGCCACATACAGTGAGCTAGATTTTAGCCCTGGACTACTTGGTACCACATGTTAATGACTCTGTTAGATGGTGACCTCTGGACTGCGAAGTGGTGGACACTTGGTGATGTCCCAGGAGGTGCAGGTCAGTGTCAGCTTTCACCTGTAGTATGCGTGAATCATACAAGTCGCTCACAATTATGACACAGCCGGGGTCTGGACCGACAACGGCAAGTGCTAGGTGTAGATGGGTCCATACATATGTAGGACCAGGCTCTCATGATTCCTAGAGTTTTGGGGTATTGTGCATGCTAGCGACCCGTGTTTTGAATGATATCATACTTCAATTGTGAGCGGCTTGAAGAAGGGGTTCTGACTAAAAAAAAAAGTAACCTCCCTGGCGGGGAGTCGAACCCCGCTTTCGCGCGACCCATTCGTGATGACAGGCGCGTGTACTAACCGATATACTACCAGGGAATTGATATGTATTGCCCCGTGCAATACATAATCGCTCAGATTGTGCAACTCAACATCGAGGTATTATACTGTATGGTATGAAATGATTCGTAATGATGCATATATATCCAGGAGTAAACAGAGCTCAACCATTGAACGCAATGGGTTTCGTCTTCACAATGCGGACGCCGCTCAGGGTAGTCTTCTTCACGGACGGCAGACGAGGGGGTGACCCGTCGGAAAGCAACTGACCGGCAAGAGCTTTGTCCATTTTGTGGGAATGGGCATGTGTCGGCGGGAGGATGGGCAGCGAAGGTAGAGGCTGTGCACGGTTTCGTCCTCTTGCCCGGGGTGCAGCACTAGAAGCCGCAGTTGTAGGTGTATGCTGATTACTGGCACTGATGGCGGCTGTGGCTGCGACAGGCTTCGCCGGAAGCGAAGGGTGTGGCTGCAAGGATCCGACCGCCGACGACGTCGCGGCGGCGCCTTCGAGTTGTCGTAACTTGGCCTCCATTCGTGCGATTTTGGCGTCAGTCCTGCCGCAAATGTCTCAGCCGATGATTCAGAAGAGACAGACGGGCGCGAGGAGCGCGGAGACCTGACGCAGAACGAGAAACTCACGCGTTTGACCGCCCAGTGCCTGTGCTCTTGAGGAGACTCAGAGTTGTAGGCTTCCCCACGTCGCTCATCATTCTCCGATTCTTCGACCCTACGCCAGCGCCGCCAGCTGCGGGGTCGATGGGTGCTTGATTTGCGTACGTCACGACGAGTTTGCGGCCACGCAGGAGTTTGTCGTGCGCATGTCTGAGGGCCTTCTCGGCATCCTAGTAGGAGACAGCGATAGCCTGAGCACGTATTCACGAAATCACCGCAGACCCCGGGTTTGACTACACATGGATGATTGTTATGCCATGCGGTCGTTTTTGGGTGCGATACCATGTAGAAATAAACCCGGGGTCAGTGCGTGCCTAAACTGAATAGAGAGAAAGGACGTACCTCTTTGTTGCCATACTCTACGAATGCATAGCCCCGCGGTTTGCCCTTCAGTGGACCAGACTTGTGGAAGAGGAAGTCGAGCTTGGAGACTTTGCCAAACTTGGAGAAAACCTGCAGTAGAGTGTACCTAAAGATGGAGATGATGAGCGACCCGGTGAAGAGTTGTCAGCACTCCCTAGATGCACGCGATACTCACTCATCGACGCTAGGGTGGAGATTTCCAACATACAAACGATCTTTGAGGATCAGCCGCGTTTGTGCCGGTGTCGACGATGATGCCACAGGAGCGGCGGGCTCGGATGGTGTTGGGTACGAAAGATGTGTCTCAGCAGCGTTCGGAGATGTGTCCTCCGTAGTCGTTGTGAGTGGCGAGCGTTCTAGCGAACCGGTGGCCATGAGGAGCGCGACAGCGGCAGAGCGGGCGATAGAGAGCGTCGGGGATGAAGGGGACTGGAGAACTTGTTGCTTGTGGTCCAGCGCGCTCCCCGATGCCCTTCAGGCGCTCGAATAGTCTGTAGCGCTCTTCTCCTCTGTCCGGTCATTTCCTGACCGGCGGCGAAAGTCCACATGCTCTCATGCCCAAGTTACCACCAGGGCCTCGTCCAAAGTTGTGTGTACCCCGAGCATGCAGCGCGAGCTAGTCCATCGGGCCCCGTGCACAACATTTGTCTTCGTAAGTATGACAATTCAGCTGCTTCGAGCTAAATCTGTGCCGAATATCATGGCAATTTGCAGGTACGACGCTCTAAACAGGAGCACGGAAGTGAAATCAGGACGTCAGACTCGTCTATACTCTTACGTACGTCCGAATTAGAGTCAATATCCTCAGAGAGGTTCCTCGTAAGTGGCTCGTGCCCTACCACACCATTCCGTTACGGCAAACATCGCAGTTCCCCATGCGCCGAAGTTCTGGGCGCAATGCACGAACATCAAAGGACCGGAAGGACCCTATCGAAAGGGCACTGATGCTTCGATCATGGCTTGCAGCAGCGGCCTCGAGGCATAGTAAGACGAGTACGCATGCGCGTGCATCATTGTAACTACGGCAGAAGAGCTCGTCAAGGTGCCTGCTCTGCTCGAGCTAACCGTACGTGGTCAGATCTACGGCCCCGTATCCTTAACGGAGCCTGACTGGGTCATGGTTCCTGCAGTTCGGATGCTCCGTGGTGCTTGACAGAGTTCTGAGCCACCACATGCATCAGAGTCTTTGCCCCGCTCTTCTGGGTGCGAAAATTACCTTGATAGGTAGGACGATACAATGCGGTTGATGGTGCATTCACTCTCCGCTCGCCGCTCAATGCATCTCGGGCATCCGAATCATCTATTGTTCTGGGCGCTGGGCGTAGAAAGAGGGTGCTGCGCTACGGGTTGTCAACGGAGACGTCCAGAACCCCCTCTGCCAGCATCTACAAGGTCAACTGCGATCCTCGAATAATCGTCCTCTGATTATCTGACTACGAGAGATTGTGCGGATCTACGAGTAAACCTACCGTATAGTGCAACTACGTACGCCATATCCGACCCATCGCACCTTCTCCATCTGCGCACACCGGGAACATCCCGAATTCTGCGAGTCCATCGGGGGTACACGTCCACGGCCGTCCCTTATTCACAAAACGCCGCCAGTCGATCATCGGACCCCGTCCGCACGACTCCTGGGCCAATGCGTCGAGGTCGCGAGAAGCATGCGCGATGGCCATCGGACCACACGACACCGGTCATGGGCCTGACTGTGCGGAAACATCAGGTCAGGTCAAACGCGCTCGGTCTGTCCTCAGCTCCGTCTTGGGGCTGCGCGCTCCCTGCGGATCCGGAGTGGCATGTCCGGCGCTCTCATGTTTGTGGGTCCATGGGAGCAAGTGTCGGCGTGCATTGACTGGAGTGTCCCGTGTATCTCACTTGTGAGAAGTCATGGCGAGCGGGCTCCGTGAAGAGAGGGTCTCATGAGCTTCGCAGGCACATCCGAGGCCGATCGGGAGAAGGAGTAGAAGCACGGAAGCCAAGTCAATGATTCGAACGCGCAGATACTAGTACATGAATGCGACAAGACTTTGTACAAGAAGCTGTTTGTGCGATCGGCGCAGGGTATGTTACCAGAGAGACGCGAGAGGGAAAAGACAAGCAGCAGATTATGACGTGATAGTTGGTTCACCGTTAAGTTATACGAGCTACGGAAACGACAAGAGGTGGGCGAGGGCGAATATCGAGAGGGAAACGTATGCGGAGGAAACAGAGGGAGGCAACTGGAACCAACCAGCAGCTGAGCGTAGAGCACACAATGAGACAAGAGCGAACACCAGCGGAGCATCAGCCACGACCCCAAGTCGGACAGCAAGCTATGATTGCTCGTCGGCGCCGACTTCTACTCCAGCATCGTCATGATACATCACCTCCGAGTCCTGTGCTTCCCGCGCCTTCTTGGCCTCCTCTTCAGCTCTCTTCCGTTGGTTCTCCTTGCATCGGTTGGGGCTGCCTTTGTGCCGAACCATTGCGTCGTAGCGGGAAAAGTCCTGCCCGCACCGATCACAGCCGAGCTGCTGCCTGTTCGGGTTGAGTTTGCAGTGATGGTTTTCGTGCCTTTCCGTATCGCCCTGGCGCGTGCACCTGCGGAAGCAGAACTTGCATATCAGTTTCTCCTCGACTGCGGGCTTCTGGGCCTTCTTCCTCGACCCCCACGACGGCGCCTTTCTGCGTCTGGGCTTGTACTTGCTTGCAAGCTTTTGACTCGCTGCTATCTTCGCAGAAATGGCCTTGCGGCGCGAAGCTTGCGAAGGGGCATCATAAGAGGTCGCACGAGCACGAGCACCGTTGCGTGAACGCTTGGTGGGGCGGTACTCCTCGTCGTCCTCATCGCAAGAGTGCTGGTCGCCTTCGCCGTCGGACGACCTGTCGGCCTCGTACTCGCTGCCCGAGTTGGCCTCGCTCTCTTCGTACTCCTGCTCGCTCTCGTCGTCACTATATGCCGCAGTCGTGACCTTCCGAGAGGTCAGTCGTGCAGCAGGGGCAGGGGCAGGCGGTGCGAAGATCGCGGTTTGGGTAGGAGGAGCCCGACGAGACCTGGCAGTGCGCCCAGGAAGATCACATAGAGGCTGTTTGGGCGCACCAGGGGTGCGGATCGGCTCAAGGGCTGGGTTGAGAGCAGGAACGGGCGCGGGGACGCGGGACGTCTTGCGCGCACGAGCTTGAGGAGCCTTGCGGGCTATCACACGGGGAGTGGGGGCCTTCGTCGCCTTTGGGCTAGCAGCGCGGGGTGAGCGGCGCGGACTGTTCTGCTTCGGGAGCCGCGAGGAAGCCTTGGCGGCCATCTGAGGTGCCGGACGAGGGGCGTCGATTTTGGGGGACGCCGCAGAGCGGCGTTTGCGTTTGCCGGGGCTGTCGACAACAGGCTCAGCTGCAGTGTGGTCGATGTGGGATGAATCTGGGAGAGCGGGCTCCGCGAGGTTGTCGGCCGCCGTATCCATGAAATGCTCCTCGACACGTGTCTCGAGGATGATTGGAAGAGACCCGACATCCGAGAGAGGAGTGGACAGCCAGGAGTCGGGAGATGAGAGTACGGAGGGCGCGATCGTCATGGGAGTGGAGAGCATGCTGTCCGAAGGACTGCCAGAGGAGATCGAGGGACTCGAGAAAGTAAAAGCAATGCTGGCGGGGGAGAACGAGGAGATGGGGCTCAGAGGACTGCCGTGGATGCGCAGTCGCGATACACTTGAGGACATAAGGTTGGCAGGCTATGCGAGAAGATGTTAGTAGGTGCGACACGTACACTTGATGAGAGCCATACGAACCGAGTCAGTGAGCATCGGAGACTGAGAGGAGAGCGTTTCGAAGGAGTTCGAACGGAGGGAAGACGACAACAAGCTGTCGATCGACTCGACACTCTCGAATGATCCCAGCGGAGGTAGCACGTTACGCATCATCGGAACAAAGGCTGAGAAATCCTGAGATTTATCGTCCATCTGGGTCAACGAGTCGTAGTTGTGGATGAACTGGTCGAAGTCCAACGCCGCGCCAAAGTCCTGAAGGCC